CACGCGACATCATCTCGGGAAGTCAGGGAAGTGCGCTTCAGCTCCAGCGGCGCTGCGCGCCGATAAAATTTTAACCGGCCGAGCTCCGCGGGCTCCGCCGCCATAATACACTCCTCGCTGATGTCATTCCAAAACCCCCTAGAATCGTTACGAGCTCCAACTTTAAGGTTGACTTCTATGGCAGTTTCTTCTCTGTCATTTTGGCTCTCATCAAATGCCTTCAAATAAGTTAGACCCCGGGCCGGCAAAGTCGTCTGTAGCTGGCCTCCTACGAAGATCCAGCGTCGAGGGCGGTGGCTGTCAGATTGCTGGTTATTGTATATTTGGCCGGGTAGGGAGGAGGCAACAGGTCTCATGGAAGACGCGGTCTCCAGTCCGGCCCCCTAGGCTAGTGGGAGATACGAAACTTTTTGTTGAATTGGCCCGCCCACCACCCTCCTTCGGCACAAATGAAGCACCCGCCCTGCCCTACCCTCCTCCATCCCCGCTGAGGTGGCTGCGCCATCCAAGCGCGGTCCGTCGGCCTTCATTCTGGCACTCTTAACTGAATTGAGCTCAGCCCCCCCTTTGAGGGAGGAGTTTACTCTGCTTCCTTTAGCTCAGGCTAGTGGGAGATACGAAAGGCCAAGTGGACGGAAATATGGTTAAAACGGCCCCCAACACAGACATGCCCATGGTGGAGGCGAGGGAGGAAATGGAGATGGTGCAAGGGAGGAGCCAATGGTACGAGGTCCTCGCGGATTTCTCCGCCCAGGACGAGAATGAGCTCTCCGTCCGCGCCGGCGAGGCGGTCGTCTCGCGCCGCGGCGGCGAGGATGGATGGATCCTGGTGTCTAGGCCCGTCCTCTCGATGGTCGACGAGAGCGGCTACGTGCCGACGTCGTACATCCACGCGGTGAGCCCGAGCGTCGCGTCGTCGAGCGGCGCGGCGCCGTCGCCGGGCGGCCCTCGCGAGTGGCTCGTCGACGCCGCGCGCGAGGCCCTCGAGGACGACGGCGGCGGGCGCGACGCCGCGGAGGCGCTCGCCGTCGTCGCGGCGCGGGCCGGCGGCGGCGACGGGCGCGAGGCGGCGGAGGCGCTCGCCGAGGGCGCGTCTCGGGCCGCGGTCGTCGCGCGCCGCGCGCCGCCGGACGGCATCGAGCGAGCCCGCCGCCGCGCGCGCCGGCGGCGGACGGCGCACGCGAGCGTCCTCGAGGACGTCCTCACGCGGAAGGAGGCGGAGGCGTCCTTTGCCCCGTCGCTCCGCGGCGGCGCCTCGGCCGCGACCGTCGCGCTCGTCCACGGCGTCGACGAGACGCCCGCGGCGGCCGCGGCGCGGGAGCGCGCCGAGCTCGAGGCCTCGCTCGCGGAGACGCTCGCCGCGCTCGGGACCGCCGGCGGCGCGGCCCGGCGCGCGGCGCCGGGCCGGCCGCCCAAGCGCCGCACGCTCCACCGGTCCGCGCGGCCCGACGTCGTCACCTGGGCAGGAAACAAAAATATTCAAGACGACTTCAATATGCATGTATTCGCACGGTTTCAACATATTCTTTTCACTGTAGAAAAAGAACTTTTCGAGAGAAAACGATCCGTCCAAAAATCAGCCAAAACGACTTTGATTTGACCGAGATAGAGAGGTTTGAAGTTTTTGCTGGACAGGACGTTCCACTGGTTGTTTCCCACACAGGTCGTCACGACCAAGGAGACCGTCGCCCTCTTCGCCGGGTCGCTCCGCGAGGGCGGCGCCGGAGGCATGCGATTCGGTGCGTTCGGCGGCGGCGGCGGCGGCGGCGGCGCGCGCGCGCGGACAGAGCGGGCGGCGGCGGACGACGACGGCGGCGGCGGCGATGGCGGCGACGGCGACGCCGCGCGCGCCGCCAACGCGGACGACGGCGACGGCGACGCCGCCGACGCGGACGCCGCCGACGCGGACGGCGACGCGGACGGCGACGCGGACGGCGGTCCCGGCGCCGCTTGCGGCGCCGCGATCCTCGACGAGCTGGTCGAGGCCCTCGCGCGGGCCGCGTGCGAGGCCATCACCGACGAGAGCGAGCCCTACGCGCGCCGCAAACTCTACCACGTCTCGCGGCGCGCCGACCTCCTGCGAGGCGCGTCGCCGCCCCGCGCGGCGCCGGAGGAGCTCACGCTCGCGGCGCTCGGAGGCGTCGCGCGCGCGCCGCCCGAAGCGCCGCCGCCGCGGCGGCGCGGCGGCGCGCTCGCGGACCGGCTCAAGCGCTCCCTCGCGGCAGAGCACGCCGTGACCCGCGGCCTCGCGCCACCGCCGCCGCC